TGGAGGAAAAAACACAGATGATCAGATTATCATACATAACAGTAATAAATCCAATTAATGTTCCCCTCCTCCTCTCTTTCACCCTCCACATGCAATCGGTCACAATGTCCTATCTGGTCCAGCAACATCCCCATCCACCTTTTCACCCTCTAATCTAGCTGAGCCCTTCATCTCTTCTCACCTGGACCAACACAGTGGCTCCCAGCCTTAGCCGCATAATGGAATGGAGCTTCGCAAACCACAGATCCCTGGGATGAGCTCCCAGCTATTCCTGTTTCATTGGTACCAGCCACACCTGGCAGGTATGATGGCAGCGTGCGGTCATGGCTGGGAATCACTACCTGTAAGGTCTCACACCCAAGTCTCCTCTCCACAGCCCTCATGTTTACGTGATTATTTGTGTAAAATACAACTCATTGCCATATTATTCTCTTGGCTTCCATTCTCCTGTTTGCTTCCCACTTCTCTGGTTAATTCCTTTAAGGCTCCTTCTTCAGCTTCCCTTCCTCCACCTACCCCTCCAGTGTTAGCATTTTCAAGCTCAGCTTGGGACCCTGCCCATCCATGCCTCAGGCCTCAAATACCACTTACTCATGAGCACCCCTTGGCTTCCTTTGGAGATGAGTTCCTGACTGCCTTATAGTGTATGTTAGCCATACACACATAAGCCACACAAACAGACATGTCCACATATAAGTCCTGGTCAATTAAAACATTTATCAATGTGTGATTATTAACACCGGTGATAAGCTGTGCAATCAATGTTTATGTCTCCCCAAAATTCCTATGTTTAAATCCTAACCCCCAACAGTAGGAGGCGGGACCCTGGGGAGGTGACTAGGCTATGAGGGTGGAGCCTTCATAAATGTGATTAGCTCCCCTACAAAAGCACCCCCAGAGAGTGCTCGCTCTTTGTGCTATGTGAGGATACAAGACGACAGCAGTCTGCAACCCAGAAGAGAATCCTCACCAGAACATGCTGGAACCCTGATCTCAGGTTTCCAATCTCCAGAACTGAGAAATATTAATACATTTCTGTGGTTTATGAGCCACCCATTCTATAGAACTTTGTTATAGCAGTCCCAGCTAAGACAAACTTATTAACAATCATCTCCATGACCAAACTGTAAGGTCCATGAAGGCAAAGATGGTCAACTGCGCTTTGTTCACCGTATCCAACTACTGTGTGTCAAATGAATAAACAACTCTGTGACTGCTACTCTTCTTAAAAGTCTCCAGTGGATCCCACTATCTAGCGAAATTGCAACCCCTGAACAGGGCATGCAAGGTGCTTCACACGCTATGCTCTTCCTCATCTTTCTGGACTCATCTCCAGCCATGTTCCATGCCTACCTTACTCTCAAATCACACTGCATTGCTCAGAGTTCCACGATTAAACCTGTATTTTCAGGCAAGACGTCTTTCTGTGTGCTCCTTCTTCTGCCTGCACCTGCCTTCTCCATCCAACAGTCTATCTGGAACCTACCTAATTTTCAGATAAGGCTCAGCTCCAAAGTCACCTCTTCAACGTTACGTGGCTTGGTCTTACTCCATGCACCCCACCACCCCTCCTGCTTCTCCGCCAGCACAATTCATTGCTCCAATGTCTGTGTATCTCTAGCACTACACGCCAACATACGTAATTATAATATTAGAATTATTTACGTATGTGTCTGCTTCCCCAACTCACTGTGACTTTGAATGTCCCCACCCTTGACCTGACACATGGGAGGGGTTCCGTTACTGTTAGCTGAAATGAACTGAAATGAATACATTACACATTTTAAATGGTTCAGGAACCCATCAGGCACAGACATAAATTCGGAAGGTATCTTTTAAATAGGTACCATAAAACAAAGAAGCTGTATATTCTGATATTAAATTATATTGAAAGCACATATTCACATTAAAATAACTCATGAAGATCAGATCAGCCTAAGGAACAGTAAAGCAGGGATAATAAAGATTCATTTGGTAGTAAGGGATCGCCAGACTTCAAGTAGTGTGAAGGGGTTCTGTCAACGCTAAAGCACTATGTAACTTTTAAGAGCTCTTCACCATTATCTGCAAACAAAGTGGTGACTATGCAGAAAAGATTTTTTTTTCTCTACCGTGGGTTCATCCCAAACCACTTCCAAACCAGGAAGATGGTCAACAAGGCAAATGACTCAGAGAAAATAAACAGCTCCCTTAGGTGCAGAAGCAGAAGCGGAATGAGGTTGGGCCTCATCACCTCCCTGGCTGTTCCCTTTCTCCAGCCAGTTCATGACGCTCAAGGCAGAAACACAAAGCAGACTCAGCAGACAGATTTTTCCAGGACCAATTCCAAGGCGGCCATGCCTGCTGCGTCCCCTTTGTCCTCAACAGGAGCTACACCCGTACCTCCCCTGGCCCACAGGGGAAGGAAAGCAAATGCAACTCAGTTGTTGTAGTAAGACCCCGCCTGCCAAGGACGGTGCCAAGTGCAGAGTCCCAGTACAACAGGGCGATGCATTCGTGCCCTGGCCAAACCTAAAACGTCTAGGGAATCAAGAAGTGGTAGGGAGAACATATGTTCTGGAGACAGCCTGATAGGGTGTGGCCGTGTCCCCACCCAATCTCATTTTAAATTGTAGCTCCCAAATTCCCAGGTGTTGTGGGAGGTTCCCACTGGGAGGTAACTGAATCATGGGGTCTTTCCCATGCTGTTCTCATGATAGTGAATAAGCCCCATGAGATCTGATGGTATAAAGGGGATTTCCCCCACACAAGTTCTCTCTTGCCTGCTGCCATGTAAGACGTATCTTCCATCTTCCACCATGATTGAGAGGCCTCCCAGCCACATCAAACTGTAAGGCCACTAAACTTCTTTTTCTTTATAAATTACCCAGTCTCAGGTATGTGTCTATCAGCAGTGTGAAAACAGACGAATGCACAGACCAGTATGAGCTCAAATCCCAGCAGTGGCAGAAGCAATCCCTGGCGGGAGAAGTTGACAAAGCGGTTATTCTAGGAAGGAGAGCTGTGGTAGAGATTGGCACCTAGGACACGGTGGTTACATGGGTGTGTTCACTTTGTGGAAGTTCATCTATTTACTTATTTACCTCTCTCAGCTTTTATTGTCTCATCTCAGAAAAAAAAAAAAAAAACTATATCCTACAGTGTTGTCCTAGAGTTAATATATGTGAAATAATAAAATATTAAATGACAAATTAAATGATATATTACATAATAGTTTACGTGTGGAAAAAGAAATAAAGTATATTAAAAAGAGATTGACTTAAGACTTGGCACAGCACACGGATTCCAGCACTGATAGTGGCATCACCAAGTTCTCATGCTAGGCGCTCTGCCCTAGGAGACACAAGCCATGTTCCTCTCCAGTTGGTTCATGTAGCACAAACTGATGCCCATGTCCTCTAGGCAACACTGTGGCTTGGGAAGGAAACACAGGTGGTATCCCCAAAACTCTCTAGACAAATGCTGTATAACAGTCCAGAGATGGGTTAGTTTCAGCCGGGCATGGTGACTCATGCTTGTAATCACAGCACTTTGGGAAGCCGAGGCAGGCAAACCACCTGAGGTCAGGAGTTCGAGACCAGCCTGGCCAACATGGTGAAACCCTGTCTCTACTAAAATTATAGAAATTAGCTGGGCATGGTGCTGGGTGCCTGTAATCCCAGCTACTTGAGAGGCTGAGGCAGGAGAATTGCTTTAACTGGGGAGGAAGAGGTTGTAGTGAGCCAAGACCATGCCACTGCAGTTCACTCTGGGCAACAGAGTAAGAGGGAGGGAGAGAGGGAGGGAGGGAGGGAGGGAAGGGGTTAGTTTCATACGGCAGCAAATAGTAATCTTCCCCTCCTCCTCTCAGCCATGTAATGGAACTCTTATCCGTGAAGTAAAGAGGGGAGCAATTGACACAGAATCATGACATCATGGTACTGAACAGAACTTGTGTTCAAACTGCTGCAAACCCAGCCTTTTGCAGGTGGGAAATCTGACACACGGAGAAGCTGCACGACCTGTCCAAACTCACACTGCTAGGAGGACCTTGATTTCCTGACTCCAGTCCAGAGCTCTTTCCACAAACAGGAAACAATGCTGAGATTTTTAAAAATTTTACATTGAGTTCATCCAAGGGGAACTGTGAAACAATCTCGACTTCTACAATATTGGTAACCAGAAGGGTAAACCAAGAGAAGCATCTTTTGCTGGCATCTCTCCTTCTTGGTCTGATGGTAGAGCCCCTGCTACCATAATACTGCTGTGGTGGCGGAGTCAGACCCTGTCTGTAAACCACGTGCCTCTGCCACGGCCAGACTACTCCATTCCTGGACACTGGAACGGAACACCGTGAACCTGAACACAGTGAACCTAGGCCCAAAATGAAACAAGCGTGTGTATAAAGTTCCTGACACTCTGAAAAATGGACCACACCCCATCAGCATCACACAAGTATGGAAAGAATGGACAAATTACAATCTGTAAGGAAGTCGAAAATGTGCTGTATAGTAGCACCAAAATTATTATTCATCATTTACTACTTAATTGCCCCCAAAATCAAGTTCTGGAAAAGCCAAGCATTTTCATCCGCTAGTTAAAAAATAAAAGGTTTTATAATCATTTTGTCATCATATGAAACATTTCCAAAACCCATTCTTTCCAAATTAGAAAAATAAATTTCCTATTTCCTTTCTGGAAGAGAAGTGACACTATCCCCTTCAAGCAGGACAATGAGAAGAGAGACGGTTAGAATGCAAATTTTCAGAGCTCCTTTGGATACTATGTTGAATGAATATAAAATGTAAAAGCATGAAAAAATATTCTCCCTGGGAAACCAAAAATTTGTTATAAGTAACTACAAGATCATACAGTGAAAAGTTAAATTTCAACATTTTTAAGAAGGAAAGCTATTGTACTAACAGTGATTAATCAAAAAGCTTTCCGAAGCTGAAATAACACGCCTACTTTTCAGAGAGGCCGTCAGCATCCATAAAAGGACAAATATCTTGGGGCCAGGCGTGGTGGCTCATGCCTGTAATCCCAGCACTTTGGGAATTCAAGACAGGCAGATCACGAGGTCAGGAGGTCAAGACCATCCTGGCTGACACTGTGAAACCCCAACACTATTAAAACCGTAAAAAAGGGCCAGGCGCGGTGGCTCACGCCTGTAATCCCAGCACTTTGGGAGGCCGAGGCGTGTGGATCACGAGGTCAAGAGATCGAGACCATCCTGGTCAGCATGGTGAAACCCCGTCTCTACTAAAAATACAAAAAATTAGCTGGACATGGTGGCGTGTGCCTGTAATCCCAGTTACTCAGGATGTTGAGGCAGGAGAATTGCCTGAACCCAGGAGGCGGAGGTTGCGGTGAGCCGAGATCATGCCATTGCACTCCAGCCTGGGTAACAAGAGCAAAACCCCGTCACAAAAAAAAAAAAAAAAAAAAAAAAAAATAAAAAAAACTGTAAAAAATTAGCCGGGCATAGTGGCATGCACCTGTAGTCCCAACTACTCAGGAGGCTGAGGCAGGAGAATCCCTTGAACCCAGGAGGTGGGATTGTAGTGAGCCAAGATTGTGCCACTGCACTCCAGCCTGGGTGACAGAGCAAGACTGACTCAGAAAGAAAAAAAAAAAAAGGCAGAGAGGGGGGCAAATATCTTTTAAAAGTAATTCAGTCATTCATTCCATAAATATTTACTGAGTTCTGACTTGTGCCAGGTATTGTTTCTGGCTTGGAAGATATAACAGTGAACAAGAGAGAGAAAAATCTGTTTTCATAGAACTTACACTGCAGTGTTCCTGAAAGGCAACGTGAATCCTGAGTTTTCAGAAAGACCATGTGAAACAGAGACCATGCAAAACAGACACCCAGGCATCTCAGCTGATTATCTAAGCATGCTGCCTCCAAGGTAGACTTAAACTACTTCCGTACTTTGAAATCAAAACATCATAGTAAAAATATTTCTTAACAGTTTTATTGTATATATAGAAAGTATACAATTTAGCACGATTTGAGATATATAGATAACCGGCAAACTATCACCAGATTCAAGAGAGTGGAGCTATCCATTACCCCCGAGAAGTTTCCTCATGCCTCTGTGTGAATCCTTCCACAGCTCCCTGCATCATCCCAGTTAACTTGCGAGCTTTTGTCACTATAGATTAGTTTGCATTCTCTAAAGTAGGATTTGTGCGGCTTCCTTCACCCAGCACGTTTGTTCTGAGACTCGTCCACGTCACTGTGTATCCCGATCTGGCACTGTTTTTATTGTGTTGAACACCTGAGGTGCTTCCAGTTTCGGGCTGTCACAAATACAGCAGGCGAGCTCTGACACAGTCTCTTTCACCTGAGGCCCAACTTGCATTGATCTTTTTCATAAAGCCTTCTCTGAAGACGCCAGCCTTTGGGGCTCCCCATCCCTCCTGATATTCTAAATAAACTAAGATATACCACTTGCAGAAAATGGGGAAGGTACATCTTTATACTGGAAATATATTTCAAAGATCACAAAAAAATCTCACCTTGCATTGTTCATCCCCTATATCTTACCTGTGAATATTGGATGCACTTGCAGTGGCCATGATGGCATAGCACAGTAACACGAGCACAAAAAGATGCACAGAGTACCTTTAAGACATAACAGGTGGGGGAGGAAGGAATATATTTTATATCAACACACCTATTGGTTGCCCAAACTGTGAGTCTATCACTACCCCCACCAAAACCACAAATGATCAATGATCAGTGACTCATGTATATGTAAGAGAAAATAAACCAAGTATTTTCTGCTATGTAACTAAGATGCTGTATCTTACAATGACACAAGGAAGTCATAACACAGTTTGTCAACCGCAGGGCTAATTATGTCAGGAATCCGTAAGTGGAATGCTTACACTTTTTTCACATATGCAACTGACAGTACAGAGAGATGAGTTCTTTCTTTAAGACTTTATTTTTTAAGCCGGGCTTCTCCAGATACCAAGACTTCTACCTGGTGGATAATTTAAAATACTCATCCTTTCTTAGGTATTTGTTGAAGGATTAGGAGCAGTATTCTAGTATAGTACCCTGAACAGATTCACAGAATCTTTGAAGGTGTACTTCTAAAAATGCTGGTCTCTAAAACTTCTCCCCGAACACCTGTTAGGGTATTTTCCCAGCTTACTAATAAAGGAAAGTATAATTTACTAGCTTTCTCTGTTAAAGAATGATTCACATTCCCTAAAATCAGCAACGAAACCCATTGTTCTACTCTGGTGAAACTGCAGGACTCACACCAACGTCTCTAGCAGTGATGCAAGAAATACACCAACATCTAGGATAGTTAGGAAAGGTTTCTTTTGGGAAAATTTAACCATACAGCATCCTATTTACATGACTGAGAGGGATCTATAGAAGCACAGTTTTAAGAAAAGGGCTGGTCATGGTGGCTCATGCCTATAATCCCAGCACTCTGGGAGGCCGAGGAGGGCAGATCATGAGGTCAAGAGTTTGAGACCAGCCTGACCAACATAGTGAAACCCCATCTCTACTAAAAATACAAAAATTAGCCAGGCTTAGTGGTGTGTGCCTGTAGTCCCAGCTACTCAGGAGGCTGAGGCAGGAGAATCGCTTAAACCCGGGAGGCAGAGGTTGCAGTGAGCAGAGATGGCACCACTGCACTCCAGCCTGGGTGACAGAGTGAGACTCCATCTCAAAAAAAAAAAAAAAGAAAAACAAAAAGAGAAAATGAACTCTACTGACTTCCAATTCCAATGGATGGTCAGTTTATTGGCTTTTACAGTAAGTGGAGATTCCAGGTTCTTAGAGTAAAGGAAGATTCCTGCACTGACTTCATCATCTTACTATAAGGTATTTAAAATATAACATTTTACAATACATATTTTATAATACCATCTATTTCTTGCTTTAGGCACAATATTCTCAAGAGGAAGACCACTGAGGTTTTTCCAAGGAAATTTGGTGTCTACCTTACATCACTAGACAGGCTTGGCTTTGAACGTTGAATGCAGAGCTCTGTCACTCTTTTAGATCTTCAGTGTCACCTGGAATTTGAGGAATGCTCTTGTTCCTCAACGTTGCCACAAAACATCCAAATGACCAATATTAGGCTGCATGAGGCTCGTACTCACCAGCCGAAACAGAAGATGACAAAATAGATGCCAAAAATGGTGGCAACCACGTGCCGGACATCAGAGCTGGTTTTACCAGGACGTAAGTAGATGCGAAACCAGAAAGCAGCAAACAAAGCAACGAGCTGGCATGCCACGAAATTCACCTATGGTGGGGGCGGGGAGAGAAAATAAAAATCGTTATTGTTTCACCTATATGTGAATTTGCTCGTTTTTTTGTTTTTGTTTTTGTTTTTGTTTTTGTTTTTTACAGATTTCCACATCAAGATGCTTCTCAGGCTTGGCTTTGTTCTTTCTCCCCAGTAGACTGTTTGGAGGAGGAAATGAATATAACAGAGCAAGATAACGATACCCTTGTGTGGTATAAAAAGTGGCAAACTCAACAGTTTCTTGTCTAACCTTTAAGCCTAGCCAAGGTTGATTTCCCACCCACAAGCAGGGGGTTCCTCATGGAAACAGCCTAAGCTAACTGTGAGCTCTGTTTACTGGGTCTCTTTTCTCACTCCCAGTAGGACTCTAAGACAAAGAAGGTATTCTTTTAGAGATGCAAAGTTTAACAGAAGAGCTCCCTTATTTGGTACCTAGCAAATCAAACTGTTCTCCAAAGGGATCACCAGTTGTTTTCTGACTCTAAGAATGACTCACATTCCCTAAGACAGGTACTAAACCCATCGTTCTGCTCTAGCAAAATCCAGAACTTCCATCAATGTCTCATTCTAAATTGGCATCCAATAAACAAGAGTATTCCTCAAATTCCAGGTGACACTGAAGATCTAAAAGTGTGACAGAGCTCTGCATTCAACGTCCAAAGCCAAGCCTGTCTAGTGATGCAAGGTAGACACCAAATTTCCTTAGAAAAACCTCAGTGGTCTACCTTTTGAGAATATTGTGCCTAAAACATTTGAAAATGTCCTGAAATCTACAGAAAAGGTCAGCTGATTCTAAAAAACAAAAAACAAACATGAACCTTTGCAGTTTAAATTTACCCACAAACATGTACCTTTGCAGTTTAAATTTACCCAAATCAAATTCTAAATACAGTAAGTGATTTAACCATTCATTTAAACCAGAAAGGTAAAACTTAGACTCAGACGTTGGAGTGGAGGGAGCAGACAGAAGCTTAATTAGTGCTCATTTTGCTTGCCCAATAAAAAACAACAATACTTTAGACCCTTTATAACTCATAGAAAATGTTGTTTTAAAAAAATTCTTGTTTTTGTTTTGTTTTGAGACAGTCTCACTGTCATCCAGGCTGGAGTGCAGGGGTGTGATCTCCATTCACTGCAACCTCCACCTCCTGGGTTCAAGCAATTTTTCTGCCTCAGCCTCCTGAGTAGCTGGGACTACAGGTGTGTGCCACTGCACATGGCTCATTTTTTTTTTTTTTAATTTCTAATAGAGATGGGGTTTCACCATATTGGCCAGGCTGGTCTCGAACTCCTGACGTCAGGTGATCCACCCACCTTGGCCTCCCAAAGTGCTGGGATTACAGGTGTGAGCCATCACACCCAGCACTTGTTTTGGTTTTTTAAAAGTTGACTATAGGCCAGGTGCAGTGGCTCACACCTGTAATCCCAGCACTTTGGGAGGCCAAGGCGGGCAGATCACCTGAGGTCAGGAGTTCGAGACCAGCCTGGCCAACACGGGGAAACCCTGTCTCTACTAAAAATACAAAAATTAGCCAGGCTTGGTGGTGGGTGCCTGTAATCCAAGCTACTCAGGAGGCTGAGGCAGGAGAATCACTTGAAGCTGGGAGGCAGAGGTTGCAGTGAGCCGAGATTGTGCCACTGCACTTCAGCCTGGGCAACAAAATGAGACTTCATTTCAAAAAACAAAAATTAGTAATAATAAAATAAAACATAAATAAATAATAAAATAATAGTTGACCATATTGAGTTTCACCTTTCCAAAAACCTGTTCTCACCACTGCCCATCTTCACTTTCTACCTTGAAAGACAAAGAAGTGACTTGCAAACCTATCCTGCAGGATTTGGTCATAACTTTTCATCTAGGCTGAATGAACAGCCAACGAAAACACACTAACGCAAATTATATACAGAAAAAAGATCACCTTAGTAAGGTTCAAAATGTAAAGGAATTGGCAACTGGAAAGTCCAAAAGTTATTATCATAGGTGACAGATGACTTATAACAGCTTATTTTTTCATATGTAATAGAGATGGGATTTCACCATGTTAGACTGGCTGGTTGCAAACTTCTGACCTCAGGTGATCTACCCACCTTAGCCTCACAAAGTGCTGGGATTACAGGCAAGCACCACCACGCCTGGTCCACAATTTTTTTAAAAAAGGTCCAGGCTGGAATGTGATATGAATTTCTTTTTTTTTTTTTTTGAGACGGAGTTTCACTCATGTTACCCAGGCTGGAATGCAATGGCGCGATCTGGGCTCACCGCAACCTCCGCCTCCTGGGTTCAGGCAATTCTCCTGCCTCAGCCTCCTCAGTAGCTGGGATTACAGGCACGCACCACCATGCCCAGCTAATTTTTTGTATTTTTGGTAGAGACGGGGTTTCACCATGTTGACCAGGATGGTCTCGATCTCTTGACCTCGTGATCCACCCGCCTTGGCCTCCCAAAGTGCTGGGATTACAGGCTTGAGCCACCGCGCCCAGCCGTGATATGAATTTCTTTGTGTTGGTTGGCTCTTATCTACACTGGTGGATGGTGGAGAATATAACCATCTCTGCAGCCAAGCGCAGGTGGCTCCCATCACAATTCATACAGGCACAGAGTTCAATTTTTTTCCTTTCCTCTATAAAGGGTCAACAGAATCAGAGGCCTGATGCAGATTGTGCACAGAATAAATGCATTAGCTGGTAACTACTGCTGAGCTGTTAAGAACTTGCTTCTCCAGCCTCCTTCCTGCTTGCCTTCTACCATCCCCTTTTCCACCCAGCATTCAGACAGCAGCCTAAGTCTTCTGTGCCCTTTCTTCTACAGGAGAGGCAATCTGGTCCACTACAAATAATCAGTCTCTGCGTTGACAGCTCCTAAGCCACATTCTTTGGTTTATTTTGATGTGTATGGGATTTTTTTGTTTTGTTTTGTTTTTTGAGACAGGATCTCGCTCCGTCACCCAGGCTGGAGTGCAGTGGTGTGCTCTAGGCTCACTGCAGCCTCAACCTCCCAGGCTCAACCCATCCTACCACCTAAGCCTCTGGAATAGCTGGGACTACAGGCATGCACCACCATGCCCAGCTAGTTTTTTTATTTTTATTTTTATTTTTATTTTTTTTTTAGTTTTGCAGAGACAGATTTCACCATGTTGCCCAGGCTGGCCTTGAACTCCTGGGCTCAAGCAATCTGCCCACCTTGGTCTCCCAGTGTGCTGAGATTACAGGCATGAGCCACCACACCTGGCCTCTAAATTGAGTTTTATAAACCTGAAGTAGAGACAAATCTGAAATTCCAGAAATTGGGGGAAAATCTTTTTTTCTTTTTAATTCCAAAATTTGTTTTCCTGAATCAAAAGCAAAGCTGAAGAAGTGAACACAAAGACTTTCTACCGTAATTATGGAGGGAAGGAAAGCTCTGGATGACGGAAGGGCTACTTTTCTCCACAAAAGGGGATAGCAAGCTTGGTCAACGGGCTGGAGGAGGATGTCTCCAGTTTCAGTGGGAACAGAACGCGCCCTTAGATAACATGTGTGAAGACTCACGTGACATAGGAGCACAAAGGCGCTAAAACCATAGAAACTGATGGGCTCCCTCAAGAAGTCTGGGACAATGGAGGGATCCCAGTGGAAGAGACAGTTGTCTGGCTCCTCAGAGTGCAGCCAAGGGAAGTGGCCAGCACTGCAGGAAAGTGCTGCTTCTGAGAGGCTGAGCGGCTGTCGAGGTGCACAGACCTGGCGCACAGACCTCCTAGTTCCCTCCCAGGCTCTGGGAACAGCAGAGGGGCAGGATGACAGCTGGCAGACCTGAGAGGGTCTTGAAGTTGGACGGAGGAGACCATCAAGTGTGAACCAGCCACTTGTAGCCATGGAAGTCGCTGCAGGGAGCAGCAGATACAGCAACAAGAGGCCAACACCAGGACCACAAGGACGAGCTCCACTGGAGCAGAGGCCAGCAAGGCCCCAGTGGCAGGACCGGCTGCCCTCACCAAGGCCAGGAAGCACTGTCAACTCCTCAGGGCTTCGATCCTCCCCAGGTGAAGGGATGCGCAAGCCTTCAATATAACCAGCCCTACACTGGAATGGGTTGCCTAAAACTGCCCATGTAGCATGAAAGCCACATTAAGTTTATCAGAGAGAAACTTAAAAGTTACTGTTGGCATACTTGTCTGTGGCTGTACTTTTCAAACCCACTATTACTGCCCCATGGGAAATATGCACAAAAATTTTGTATGAAAAATATTCATTTCAGTGTGATTCCAAGTAGCAAAAAGAAGGAGGAATGTAAAAGTTCAACAATTAGTAAAGACACTGGTTAACACATGAAGCAAATAAAGGATATGCCCTGCATCACTGTCCTTTTTTGACGTGACATGGTAGTGTTTGCTATAAGCCGTAACTTCTGACTGATTCTTCGAAATTCATTCATTGGGTACTACAAAGGTAATGCTGAAAAAATATTGAGGCATTACTGCAAGACAGCATGATGTAAAAGCAACCTAAATAGAGGAAAACAGAAGGATGGTAATCAATGGCAAAGCCATTCAATAGAAAACGATGCCATCATTAAAAACAGGCATTATAGGCTGGGCACAATGGCTCATGCCTACAATCCCAGTACTCTGGGGGGCTGAGACGAGAGGATTGCTTGAGACCAGGAGTTTGAGAACAGCCTGAACCACACAGCAAGAACCCCATCCCTACAAAAAAACAAAAAATTAGCTGGGTGTGATGGTGAGCACCTGTAATCCTAGTTACTCAGGAGGCAGGAGGATTGCTTGAGCCTGCAGTTCAACGTAATGGAGAGCTATGATCACACCACTGCACTCCAGCCTTGATAACAGAGCGAGACCCTTGTTTCTTTAATTTAAAAAATGAGCAACCTTTAAAGTACCCGTCATAAAATGAAAAACATCTGACGTAACTAATGAATAAGATAATATAAAATTACATGTATATTTATGACTATGTAAAAAAGAGGTAGCATATAGAAAATGGCAAAAATAACACGTAAAATGGAATACAACTATGACGTCAGGATGGCAGGAATCTAGGCAAATTTTTTTGTAAATTATTTTCGTAATTTGGAAAGGTAAAAATACATGTAGAATTGCTTACAGATTCCCTGCACAACATACTCACACTTACATACACACAAGTGTGATACTCTAAGAAACTCATAATGCTTACAACTGGTATCCCCCAAAAATCCTTATTTAATTCCATTACTCTATCCTCAGTGTTGCAATTATTAGCACCTCCAACTCAAGTTTAGGTAGAAGTTGGGCATACATGGAGGACTTTACATTGTAAAAAAAAAAAAAAAAAAAAAAAAACAAAAAACAAAAAAAACTCATCTTAAAGAAAAAAACACACTTTTTATAGACAGCAAAAGAAACAATGTGTGACAGTTAACAGTAACAAAAGTAACAGTCAAGAGTAACAACGTGGATGGCTAAAGAAAACTAAAATATGTGCTGGGTATGGTGGCTCATGTCTGTAATCCTAGCACTCTGGGAGGCGGAGGCAGGTGGATCACCCGAGGTCAGGAGTTTTAGCCAGCTTGGCCAACATGGTGAAACCCAGTCTCTGCTAAAAACACAAAAATTAGCCAGGCATGGTGGGACATGCCTGTAATCCCAGCTACTCGAAAGGACGAGGCAGGAGAATCACTGGAACCCGGCAGGCAGAGGTTGCAACGAGCTGAGATCGCATCACTGCACTCCAGCCTGGGAGACAGAGCAAGACTCAGCCTCAAAAAAAAAAAAAAAAAGAAAGAAAGAAAGTGAAAATATGTGCCACGATTACTGGCCTAAAAACAACCACATTAACCAACAGAATAAGACAGAGACCACAAATGAGCCCACACTTCTGTGCCCACTGACTTTTGACAAAGGTACAAAGAATGCACAATGTGAAGAGGATGGTCTCTTCAATAAATTGTGTCAGGAAAGCTGTATAACCACATACAGAAGAACGAAAATGGACTTTTATCTCATCCCTTACACAAGAATCGACTGAAATCCAAGACCTGAAAGTATACAACAGCTAGAAGAAAACATAGGGGAAAATTACATGACACTGGCCTGGCCAGTGATCCCTCAGATTTAACCCCAAAAGCACAGGCAACAAAAGCAAAAACAGGCAAATGAAAGTGCCCCAAACTAAGAAGCTTCTGTGCAACAAAGGAAAAAATCAACAGAGGAAAGAGACAACCCACAGATTGGGAGGAAAGATTTGCAAATCATCAGGGGCTCATATTCGAAATACACAAAGAACTCCAACTGCTTAGTAACAAGAAAATAAATAATTCTAATTACCAGTGGGCAAAAGATCTCAATAGACCTTTCTCAAAAGATGACATACAAATGGCCAGCAGATATGTGAAGGAATGCTCAACATCTCTAATCATCAGAGACATATAAAACCAAAACCACGATGAGACGTCACCTCACATGTGTTAGAATGGCGATTATCCAAAAGATAACAAGTGCTTGCAGAGCTTGTGGAGGAAAGGAAGTCCACACTGTCAGCAGAAATGCCAATCAGTACAGCCATTATGGAAAAGAGTATGGAAGTTCCTCAAAACACTAAAACTAGAATTGCCATATGATCCAGCAATCACGCTTTTGGGTATGCGCCCAAAGAAACTGAAATCAGTATGTTGAAGAAATATCTGCACTCCACGCTCACTCCAAGGCTATAGCCAGATATGGAAGCAACCTCAGTGCCATCAAGGGATGAATGGATTTTTTAAATGCAGTGTAGATGCACAACGGAATACTATTCAGCCTTTAAAATGCAGGAAGTTGTCATTTGCAGCAACATGAATACACCTAGAAGATACTGTGTTAACCGCAAATTCTCACTCATAAGTGGGTGTTGAACAATGAGAACATATGGACGCAGGGAGGGGAACATCACACAGTAGGGCCTGTCGGGGGGTGAGGGGCTACGGGAGGGATCGCAGGGGGTGGGAGGATAGGGAGGGATAGCATTAGGAGAAATACCTAATGTAGATGACGGGGTGATGGATGCAGCAAACCACTATGGCACGTGTATACCCATGTAACAAACCTGCATGCTCTGCACATGTACCCCAGAATTTAAAGTATAATTTAAAAAATAAAATAATAAAAAGGGAGATATTGTGTTCTTCCTTTCAGGCACAGAGAGATAAATATATTTGGAATCTAAAAGGTCAAAAAAGGAGAGAGTTTAACAGTGGTTATGAGATGCTGGGGGTGGGAGGAGGTAGAGGAAAAAGGGGAGACACTGATCAATGGGAACAAAGTTACTGTTTGAGGTGATAGGTTATGTTAATTAGCCTGATTTCATCATTTTGCAACATACACATGTATCAAAACATCACATTGTACCCTATAAATATATACATTATCTGTCAGTTAAAAGTAAAATAAAACTTATGAAACATATTTATCATGATGTTCCTTAATAAACCCTTCGCGTTTAAAAGGAACATGCACAAAGTTCACTTTTCTACTGATCCACTCCCTCCAAAGCAGCAAACAAAGTGGCACGCTCGTTCATGACATCCAGCAATGTGCTCTCAACAATTAAAGCACTGTGTGGGCCTTTATGCATGAAGGGACAGTAGAGCCCAGCTATTTTGATGAGATTCTTACAAACAAGCAAGACTGACATAACTCGGCTTCAGCAAAAGCTCAATTTCCACAGCTCTTGCAAGATTTCAAAGTCACGGCAAGGAAACAAAACACATGTCCAAGTGCTTGACTTCTTATTTCATCAAACTGTGCTGCAACTTTCAAACGCAAGCCTTAAATCCACTCTAATCTGCTGCTAGAAGGACATTATTTGGGGATTTCTATTCCATGGCCTTCAGGCTCTTCCAAAAAAACAACACACTTTGCCAGGAGTTAAAAACATTGCCTTTCTCCTAACCAAGAGACGTAAACGGGCTATTTTTAACAAATAGCAAATATTAACGGTCCAAAAGTATTTCCCCTACTGCAGTGGTTTACCAGTGACTCCCCAGTGAGCAGCAGGCCACTGTCCAGGCCTGGAATGTCCAGTATACCCAACTAAAAAGTTTCTGTACAACAAAGGAAAAAATTAACAGAGTGAAGAGACAACCCACAATTGAGAGAAAATATTTGCAAATCACAGGGGCTAATATTCAAAATATGCAAAGAACTCCAACTGCTTAATTACAAGAAAATAAACACTCGGCAACACTGCCTTACATGCTCCAAGGCAAAACCAATCTAGTTAAACAATTCCTTATTTAATGCCAAGCCATTCCTCCACCACGGACTCTTTTGCATTGCCTCCTCCAAATAAAAGTAGCTGGGAAAGAGTACTAAAAACACGATTCCTTCCTGTACCATAGAACAAAATGGGGCTGTAGGATACTCTTGAGTTACTTTACACTTTCAAAGGGATCCTTTGTTACACGTTCATCCCAACACTCCTCAGAATGTTAGCAGGAAGTATGTTAAAATCTCTAAAGAGATTTTAACATACTTCTTCCAAGTTTGTGGATAAGCAAATATTATTTAAGATTGATAATTGGCTGGGCGTTGTGACTCACACCTGTAATCCCAGCACTTTGGGAGGCCAAGGCAGGCAGGTCAGGAGGTCAGGCGATTGAGACCAATTCGGCCAACATGGGGAAACCCCATCTCTACTAAAAATACAAAAATTAGCTGGGTGTGGTGGTGCGTTCCTGCTACCCAGCTACTCAGGAAGTTGAGGCAGGAGAATCACTTGAATCAGGGAGTGGAAGGTTGCAGTGAGCCGAGATCACACCACTACACTCCAGCCTGGTGACAGAACAAAACTCCATCTCAAAAAAAAAAAAAAGAAAAAGGAAAAAGAGATTGATAACCAATATATAAAATTTTAGCCCAAAAAACAAACAAAAATAAACATCGAACTCAAGGGTCCCCAGTCGCCCGGCCACAGACCAATACTGTTCCACAGCCTGTTAGGAACTTGGCCACTCAGAATTTGAGTGTAGGTGGCCCAGAGAAGCTTTATCTGTATTTACAGCCACTCCCCATCACCTGCGTTACCACCTGAACTCCACCTCCTGTCAGATAGGAGCGGCATTAGATTCTCACAGGAGCGTAAGCCCTATGGTGACCCGCACATGCCAGAGATGTAGGCTGCACATACCTTATGAGAATCTAATGCCTGATGATGTCACCGTCTCCCATGAACCCCAGATGGGACCATCTAGTTATAGGAAAACAAACTCGGGGTTCCCTCTGATTCTACATTATGGTAAGTTGTATAATTATTTCATTATATATTACAAAGTAATAACAGAAATAAAGTGTGCAGTAAATGTAATGAGCTTGAATGATTCTGAAACCATCCCCATCCCCACTCCATGGAAAAACTGTCTTTCACGAAACCAGTCCCAGGTGCCAGAAAGGTTGGGGACCGCTGCTCTAATTGATAGTCTGTCAATCATAACAATAAATGCCATCTATGCAGTGCCTACCATGTGTTGGGCACAGTGATAACCCTTCCATAAATGACCCCACTGAAGCCTTACCACACCTTAGAAAGTGGTTCACTAGCACTTTACACAGGAGGAAAATGAATAAAAGGTTAAGTGCATCGCGCAAGCCACCAAGTCAGGCAGTAGTAGAGCCAGGGTTTCAAACGCAGGCTGAGTTCCCTCATGGTATATCCCCCTGCTTCACTTGAAATCCCAGCATTCTCCCCAGAAATAACCGCGCTCAGGGAGAATTCGGTAGCAGCCTGTATTAATTTTCTAGGGCTGCCATGACAAAGTAGCAAAAACTGGAGGGTTGGTGTGGGGCAACTTAAACAACAGAAATGTATCTTCTCACAGTTCAGGAGGCTGGAATCTGAGATCAAGGGTGTCAGCAGGCTTTCTTTCTCTTCTTTTTTCTTTTCTTTTTTCGAGACAGAATTTCACTCTTGTCACCCAAGCTAGACTGTAATGGCACGATCTCGGCTCACTGCAACCTCTGCCACCCAGGTTCAAGCAGTCCTCCTGCCTCAGCCTCCTGACTAGCTGAAATTACAGGCACCCACCACCATCCCCAGCTAATTTTTGTATTTTTAGTAGAGATGGGGTTTCATCATGTTGGCCAGGCTGGTCTTCAACTCCCAATCTTAGGTGATCTGCCCACCTCGGCCTCCGAAAGTGCTGGGATTAGAGGTGTGAGCCACCGCACCTGGCCCGCAGGGGTAGTTCCTTCTGAGACCTCTGTCCTTGGCTCCAGATGCCCGTCTTCTCGCTGTGTCTTCCCTGTGTGTGTGTGTCTGTGTCCTAATCTCTTCTTACAAGGATGCCAGTCATGTTGGATTAGGACCCACTGTAATGACTTTAACTACTGAGCTATTAGTAATAATTTAATGGCTGCTTTGAAAGCTGTGTGTCAAATGCAGCCACATTCTGATGCAATCTGGGTTTTCGATTTCAACATTTAAATAATTGGGGAACACATCTGGCCCACAACACTGACCAATAAAAATCCTCTACTCAAACCCATACAATGAAACAGACTTCATTTTCTTTGCACCTACAGCCAGGAAGCAGTTAAGACTCAGAGCAAAGGCTACGTGGGATGCTGGGTACCTCGTAGCCTCCTATCTGCCTGGAGGTGCTTCAGCCACTACAAACAGCACCAGAGAGGGTTCTCCCAGCTCCTGTGTGTGTCAGAAGCTCGTTAACCCATAATGGGTACAATGAGCTTATACATGTTGAGAAAGTTCATTATCCTCTGACCTGTTTTAAACATACAAATTTTAAAGCAATAGTAATCAGTATTTATTAAACACATATTATGTGCGGGGGGTCTCCACAAATGTTGGCTGTTATTTTGCATGCTTCACATCTGCTACCGCATTTAATCTTGACAACTCTCAATGTGCTACTGAGAACACTCACACAAAGTCAATGGCCCCGAGACACTCAGCTGTAGGAAGCTCCATTAACAAAACTGAGGTTCCTAGGCTGCATGCAGTTGCCTCTCACGATCTCATTGCTGTTCAGGGGAAAATTTGAATTAAACCGATATGGCTGAAAGTCCTTTCCAACAACTGTTGTTTGAGGCACATGTCAACTCTGTCTACAGTTTGTACTGTCATGAACCAAGCTTCCTTCCACTGGTTCAGGACATCCTCCAGGCCCCCTAGAATGGGATAATCCCTCTTTTAATGCTCAGAGACAGAGTCCTTATACACTTGGTTAGAGTTAAATTATACAGGAAGACTTTTGGCTTACCTTATTCTACAAATATCATGTCACATGCATTAGTTATGATTTAGAATGAAAACCCTTTGAATACTTACTCCAAGGACTGAAAGGTGGAAAATGATTGTGCTGTCTCTTTAGGCTTCAAGGCAAGAAAAAAGCCCCAAAGTATGTAGGTAATATCTACTTATTTCAGCCTGCCTCCCATCCCATAAATCAAATCCTCATAATCCTTGGCCCAGCAGGTGGGCAAGACTATACAGAACGCAGGACCATTTAGGAGTCCTGAAAAACCCTGTCCACAAGCATGCTGTCACCCGCCCCTCCAGAAATAAAACATTCCCATTAGAGTTAATTCCACTGTTAACCAGTTAAAAATGTTAATGTTATTAATACTTCATTGTTAATAATATTGATAATGGCCAGCATTCATGTGCTGACTACCTCCCAGGGACAGTTTTCACTCCTTCTACCTGTAAAACTCCTTTTATCTTGACAACTCTTGATGTGCTTTGAGACTTCCATTTTACAGATATGGAAATTCAGTCATGGAGAGGTTAGAAAATTTACCCAAAATCACAGGCTGGGAGCGGTAGCTCATGCCTGTTAATTCCAGCACTTTGGGAGGCCAAGGCAGGTGCATCACCTGAGGTTGGGGGTTTGGACTGGCCTGACCAACATGGAGAAACTCCATCTCTACTAAAAATATAAAAAATTGGCCGGGCGTGGTGACACATGCCTGTAATCCCAGCTACTTGGGAGGCCGAGGCAGGAGAATCACTTGAAACCGGGAGGCAGCGGTTGTGGTGAGCTGAGATCATGCCACTGCACTCCAGCCTGGGCAATAAGAGCAAAACATCTCAAAAAAAAAAAAAGAAAAAAAAATTTACCCCAAATCATACACCCAGTCAGGGGAAATTCTGTAATTTAATCTCAGGGAGTCTGGTTCTACTCCGGCACAACAATATGGTTCATTTAACTCAACCTTCACAGCACAATTCAGTATCTCAGTTTCCAGATGAAGAAACTGAAGCCCCAAGATAGTATGTGACCTGGCCTGGGTCACACAGACTCTGAACATCAGAGTTGAGACCAGAACTCAGGGGTCCTGACTCCAGTCCAGCATGCCTTCTGATGATTCCCCATCAGCCCTGGAGGTGGGGTGGGAGTAAATCGGGGTACAGGGGGCCAGAGAGGGCCCACCTAGGAATAAGAGCCTGGGTAAAGAACTCGGGGCCTCCACAGGGAGTAAGGGGCACACACTGCTGAAGGGACTCCACTGAATAAGGAGGTAGAATGTTAGGGATGACTTTATAACCCTGACTGGGGCACAGGCTGTCAAGTTTTATACAGACAGAGATCACCAGCAACAGCATGTGTGGGTGCATGTGTCCGTATACTGTGCGTGTATAACATATACATATTTTTAACATATGTGTATATTATGGACATAATATATACTTATATTTAATACATATGTGTGTATAAAATCTATAATATAAACATACATATTTAATATAGAATGTGTGCGCATGTATACACACACACAAACACACCCCATACACATATGCAACCTGAAATTATTCATGTGGCTCAGGTCCACCCAGCTGGGCCTGGAGTCACCTTCTTTCAGTCTGGATCCACAGTGAAAGCAACCTCAAACAGGAGACCACAACCATTTACAAGGTTAAGTGGGTACGTGGGATAGTAATAGCATCTACTCTACCAGATTGTGGTGGCACTAAATGCAATGTGAAATACTATTAAAGTGCTTTAAACGAACTATAAAGCTTCACACGTATTAGCCAGGCCACAAAGTGTGCGCAGCTAACCAGCAGGACCTCTCTAACACCGCAGCTGTCCACACTGGTTGGTTAACACTATCTTAACCAACCAAAGAGCTGTTTTTTCTGAAAAATTAAAATTTAAAATGACTGATTTTGGAATCCCAATCCATCAGATTTTGGTGGGGGGTGGGGAGGGTAGGCATCTTTAAAAAAAAAAAAAAAAACATTGTAAGTTCCATGGTGATTTTAATGTTCAGTCAGGGCTGAGATCCACACTTTCAACTTATGATGCCAACCAGGAAGAAAGAGGCAGTTTAGTGAGTGTACGTTAGAGTACAGACAGTCCCTGACTTATTTATGATGGTTTGACTTATGATTTCTCAACTTTAAGATGGTGTGAAAGTGGCTTACAATCAGTAGAAACTGCACTTTGAGTACCCATACGACCATTGTGTTTTCCACTTTCAGTACAGTGTTCAGTAAATTACGAGATACTCAACAGTTTATTATAAATCAGGCTTTGTGATAGATTATTCCACCCAACTGCAGCGTGCTGAGCACATTTAAGATAGGATAGACTAAGCTATGACATTGATAGGTTGCGTGTATGAAATGCATTTTTTATTTTTCTGATATTTTCAACTTAGAATGGGTTTTTTAGGATGCAACT